GCTAGATCAGGCATGATCACAGCCGTAACAAGTACAAGTAACAAGTACAAGAGTACTCAACTATGCCTAGGCAATTATCGACGCTCATTTGACAGATCCTAGTACAGCCGCATTAGAACCGTTTTTTTGCCATCATTCTTGAAAACCTTGACCAATATCACGCCTACTACTCCTGGCTGCCTTCGCGTTAGTGTATATGGTCAAGCATACGTTTACGACAGGGCTAGTTTAAAACCTGCTCTTTCTATAGGCCATTTTTGATGCTTCCTTCCACTGTACGTAGCCGAAAACATTACGATTTCCTCTAGTTGATCAAATGACCTCATCTCATACATTCGTGTCTCATAGTTATGCCTCATTGCTTCCTTAGGTGACAAGTTGAGACCCAGTTCTTTTTCGGACATGCCGTCAGTTTTGGAACTTCAAGACACTATGTCCTACTATGACGTGGAGGGATATCGAGTACAGTTGATTGCGACTGTGTTTCGAAACCTCGTCGTCAATTCATCTATTAACTCTGCCATCTTGGGGCAGGACCCCGATGTCCTTCGCTTCGTTTGTCTTTGCATTTACTCCAGACACAACTCCTTGCATCAGCTTGGCCTGGATATTTTGTCTTTCCTTCATTTTCCGGTTGTCGGGACTCTTGTTCCTGTTCTCAAGCGCCTCCTTGACGAACTCTTGCATAGTCCTGATAGAGTAGATGTCGCCAGAGGTATGTCATCTTTGTGTGTTCTCAAATAGCTTACTTTTTTCTAGGGCTACGGATACTTCGGCATTTATGTGAATCCCCACTATCATCACAGCAGGATGTTATTTCAGGTCCAGGGGTGGTTCGTCGTTCCTATGTCATCGACGCGTGCTCCCGGAATTTCTCTTTCCTCCTAACGCTTCCTGCGTCAGTATACTCCGCCTTAATGCGCATAATATACCTACGAGATTTGCATCTTCTCATCCTTGCACTAGACGCAGTGTTTGCCCTCTCTAGTCAAGGTCCCCTGTTGTGTAAACTGCTATTGGGTCAGACCGACGAAACATTTTTTCTCGATACCCTAATCGCGCATCTCACTTTTGAGCCCCAATCATTCGGTTCTGAAAGCCTCATTCGGATGCGCGTCATGCAGGTCCCTGGCATGTCGCTGCCATCTACTACTTCCTCCGTCAAAACGACGGCTTCTCGATCAAAGGATCATTTGCCAGAATTGAGCAAGTCCACTAAGTTCGTGCCTATGAATGATCTCACTTCGGGTCTTCTACTCGCGCCCTTGCCACAGCCTCCTACTGGATGCTTTGCCGTCCCCGTCTCTATCGCCAAGTCCGTCCGGCCAATAGGGATTACCAACGAACCGGAGGTTCCTGATGCACCCTCAAAGGTTTGCCGATTTCTAAACCAAAACCACTATTGGAGATTTTTAATCTCTTTTTCTGTCTCACACCATTCCCTGAGCTCCGGTTAATGTACCTCGGTGTTTATTTCTACACCAATCCCCTGAACTAGGCTTAAGTCAATCGAGTTTTGTCGGAAACCCCTAGAGAATTGACTTCATATCATGACGTCACTTTATGCTTTCCTTTTGACTGAATTGATCAACAGTAGCTCTTTTAGAGTCTGCTAGGTACTTTCTAGTTGTAGGTAGTACCTACACTTAACTTATCTTTTGAATGCAGTTTACGTCCCTGAATCAGTTAAGGTAATCGGATAGTCGGTGTAAGGACATCAAGATGCGTATTGACAATTGTTGCTCCTAACCAATGCCTTTGTTTATCTGGGAAAAATTCGAATGCGATCCAAGTCTTCCTGCTTTATTTCAATCTTGATGTCTGCTTGTCCTGTTGCAGAACACAACTATCTAACTCTAAATGGTCCTTATTTAAGTAATAGTTTACGCTGTGTAATAAATTTTAACATCATTTGCCCTCTCTCTGTGAATAAAGCCGTGCCTATTTATCCAGGAAATTGCAATGTTTGGAATATGATTTTCCTTGCCAGCATAATTCTTCGAATCTCACGTGCAACCTTCGCGTTAGCCTTTGCTAAATGACCGTTTATCGCGGCTCTGGTAACTTGACAGTTTGTTGTTTTTGCCGAGTGTCGCTCTAGTTTGGTTTTCATGTTTGTCGTTTTTTATTGTGGTTGGAATTTTCACCGAAATTATTTCTTTTTAATAGAAAACAAACGCTGCGCCAAGGGTCAGTCTGCCTCCCACAACACAGTGGACTACCTCCTCCACAGCAGCCGCAAGTGTCACTTCAACTTCACAAGCACCTATCGTACTAACCTCTCAGGCTTCGTCACTCGTTGCTCCTGTCGTCTGTTACACATCGGAATCTACCTCTTCTCTCGTGACAACACATCATGCTGTACTTCCATCCCAGGCCAAGGTTTCTAAACCTACGCCGCCACAGTCACTCGCCGAGCCGCCTGTGGTTGCGGTTAACGGCAAACCTCAACCTGCTTTAAGTAAGTCGTGTGAAACCAAGGGCGCCAAAACGCAAGCCACATCGGGTCCCATTTATGTGGATGCTCCGAAGGACAGGCGGGAGTTCGCCATGTTTTGGCTGAACAAGAACTATCAAGTTCATCCTCAGTCAAGTTTCCCTCGCGTTCAGATTTATGCCGACTATCAGAAAGCTCACCAACAGAACTTGATCCCTGGAAGTGCTCTGTCGGCTGGTGAATTCCATGTAGTCATAAAGTACGTTTATTTTCTGTGTATCTGTTTTTTTTAAATGCTATTTTCAGCGTTAGCACTATCTATCCTCTCTTTATCCGAGAAAAATCAAGTAAACAGTAATCTTCATGCTTGTAAAATGCAAGTTATTGACCAGTTTCAACATCAAGAATCAGGAATCTCCCTTATGTATTTCTCTTGCAAGATTTACACAAAGATCCCTTTGTTTATGAGCTTAACATTCGCACAAGTCAGTGTGCCTTAATATTTGAAGGGACTTCTTAAAAAGTGGACGAAATGCGTAAATTATAATTTCCAGTGGCGCATTCTATGACCGATGTTGGCTAGCCAATTTGAAATGGTAAGGGACTTGGAGCAGCCTATGCGATGGCTCAAGGACTGACCGGTCTGGCTCCCAGTAATCTAGTTTCTAGCGGTCTTCTGAATTTTCGCTGGATGCAGTATAAATACCTCATAGGTCCGGATTTTTCTGAATGTTTTAATGACTGGAGGATTTTTAAGAGACCTATTGCTCCTCTGATTTGCGCTTACTCATAACCCAGCCCTTGCTACTTTCTGCCTCCTTACTGCTGTGGAATGGTCGCCCTACAAAACCGAACTCTATCGGATCATAATTAAGTTTTTTTGGGAGTTGAGAGATGAGTAATGGTAAACAATTATTAGTTATTTTCTGGTTTAGAAGATCCGCCCTTCGATACTCTTGCTTGAGTAACTTGAGTTTCGTCAAAACCTCTTATGAGCTGGCTGTATATATTGTTAGGTTATTCGCCTCTTTCATCGTCTACTTTCATTAGTTTCCATCCAATTTCTTTTGATCTGTATCGTAATGCCGGCGTCCAAAAGGTAGTCTGTTGGTGAAACGAAAAAAAGTAGGAAGGGAGTAAACGCCGCGTCTGTTTGCTCAAAGGCGTTTAGAGTTGCGCTTGCAGAAATGTTTTTTTTTTTTTTCGTTTAGTTCGTTTGCCAATTCTGCGTGTTTTCTAAGTGAACATATTTTTGTAGATTTAAGGCGTTTAAGTCCTTGAAAATTTTCCCCTATGATCCACCTTTAGTTCCACACTTTCCTCATGCTAGCGCATGAGAACCGTTTTCCGCAAAACAGTCCATTCCGCTGTTTATTCCGCGAAAAGTTGTTTGTATCATGCTTTTTATATGCCCGCGTCTCATAATACATTTGATGTTTTCCCTTTTAACAGATCGATGTTTCCTCTTGTGGACCAAGTGAAAGTTTTAGTCCCCAACGGAAACGTAGAAATTCACTATAACAAGTTGAAGCACGTGGACGCCCCAGAACCTCTAGAACAGGCGCTAGGTGCGTTTTACTTCATCATCTGTTCGATATGGAGTTTCTTTCATTCTAACTATATCACTGACTATATTGTTTTGCCTTTTTTATGTTGACCAAGCCCCGACAAAAAGTTTTCCTGAGAATATGCTTCTTTCCGGGTGGCTACGTGCCCTTGAGTTATTTCACCGTTTCCAAGCAAAATATTCTTTTTTTACCTCCCCACCAGGTG